CGTCGGTGTCGGCGTGCGTACGGTGCAGTCTGTGGAGGAGGTGTTCAGTTCCCCGTCACCACTGGCAGGGCGCAACGCCCATCACGACACACGACAACAGCAACAACAACAACAACAGCAGCAACAGCAGACATCTACTGCTCCATCGTCGCTGTCGTCGTCGTCATCACATCTCGCAACAACAGCAGCAACCACAGCAGTGTCGAGCCGCAGCGCAAGCACCAAAAGCAAGCGCAGTGGCGATGCTGCTGGTGGCGGCGGTGATGGCCGAATGGAAGGTGATGACCGTGTTGTGTTGTCACCGTCGTCGTCGTCGTTGTCGTCGCAGCACCCGGGTGCCAAGTTTGTGACAGACGTCGACATCAGCACGAGGAAGGCGCGTCAGGCGCGTCGCCTCTCGCGCCGCAAGTCCTCCAGTGGAACACCGGACCGAGCATCCTCCTCATCCGTCCCCGCACACACGCATACGCTCGCGCACACGCCGGGCAGGCAGGGGTCAGGCCACAGCTTACACAGCGTACACAGCAGGAAGACGAGTGGCGCGAGCGTGGGCAGCGAACACAGTGGCGGTTCCATGCACGCGCACACGCACGCGCACACGTCCCGCTCACACACGCAATCGCCATCACGCACTCACGCGCACGCGCACGCGCGCACACACGCACGCGCACACAGCGGCGGTGTGGGCGATGCTGGCAAGAAGAAGAAGAAGAAGAAAAAGAAGAACCCGAAGAAGGGCCGTGGAAGCCGCACCCACCACGATGATCACGATCACGGTGAGAATGATGGTGCCGATGGTGGTGGCGCCAATCGCAACCTTCAGCAGCACCAGCACCAGCAGCAGCAGCAGCAGCAGCAGCAGAATGAGAGGTATGGGCGCGATGGGGCAGCAAGGCGGTTGCACGATCACTTCCATCACCGCATCAGCCCACCACACCCGCCAGCAAGCGGGCAAAGAAGACAGCGAATGGACAACAGCACCACAGCAACAACAGCAACGGTGCCATCTTCATCATCAACAGCAGCAACTACCACACCGCCGCCCCCACATCAACCACGCATCCGTGGTGCAGGGACAGCAGGGGCGCGATCAGCAACGTCGATATCAACAGCGTCGCCGTCACCAGCGCGCCCGCGCGTTCGAGTGGAGGGAACCGTGCACATGTCGGAGGAGCAGGCACGAGAGGTACAGGAGCTGTTGGAAGCGATGGTCAGCACGGCCAGCAGCGACACGCCGGGGCTGGACGACACGCACGCGAACGTCACCACCCACCAGCACCACCGCAGCCCTGATGGTGGTCGCGGTGTTGGCAAACATGACGGTGCGAATGACACACGTGACGCTCCTGGTCACGGTCACGATGGCGGCGATGACAATGCATCGTCGGATGACGAATTTTTCGAGTGCTTTTCAGAGCCGTGGGTGCACTGCTGACGCGCACTGCTGGTGGTGGTGGTGATGATGATGATGATATTGATGATGATGTTGTTGTTGTTGTTGTTGATGTTGTTGTTGTTTAAGTTGTTGTTGTTGTTGTTGTTGTTGTTGTTGTTGTTGTTGTTTAAGTTGTTGTTGTTGTTGTTTAAGTTGTTGTTGTTGATGATGATGATGATGATGATGATGATGATGATGATGATGATGATGATGGCGAGGGACAGGATCGGCCCAGGCTTCTTGATGAACAGTGGAACTGAAACAGGAAAAGACACGCGGCGCAACTGTTGCCGATCATGATGGTTGTGGTGGTGGCGATGGTGTTGATAGGGCAGGCAGGCAAGCAAGCAAACATGTGTTGATGTTTTCTTGTTCTGTGTGTGTGTGTGTGCGTGTGTGTGCGTGCGTGCGTGTGTGTGTGTGTGTGTGTGTGCGTGTGTGTGCGTGCGTGCGTGTGCTTTTGATATTTGACTCGCTATTCCTGTGTTCATCACACTGTGTATGAGATGGGCAGATGTTCCATCATAAAAATGACATTGACACCGCATCACAAGACATGCTGTATGAGTGATCATGCGTAAGTGAGTGAGCGGTTGCACTCGTGTGAGCACAAGCACATGACACGGCGGCTAGTGAGAGCACATTAGAACCCTAACGACACACACACACACATATACACACACATACACGCACAAAACTTTCGATGCAAAGTGCATGAACAACGAGCAAAGTGTCTATTCTCACGAGGACAGTCAGTTATCGTACAACAAGTAACAGAACAGATCATGAACATCGAAATGGCATGTCACGCAACGACGTCAGTTACCATGATTATGGTGATGACAACAACACTGGCTGGTGAGTGCGATTCAAACGGAGCCACCACGTTGCATCAGTGTCGTGCACAGACATGGGAAAACAGCGTGCACATGCTTCAGCCCCATCAGGTCATCCAAACCACAAAACCAATTCACCCACCATCAATACATCGCCCCCAAACCACCCGATGAAATCACCAACCAACCCACCAAGGAACAGCTGTTCACGTTCATCCCGCGCTAGTGTTGGCCGTGAGACGACACCACAATGTGTGCATTGCTTGTTGCCGGCACGGCGTCGCGCGTGTCTTTGCTGCCGCTGCTGTCAGGGTGGCTGGTGCTGCTGGCGCTTTCGTGGCTGTTGTTTGTGCTGCTGCTGCTGTTGTTGTCATGGTTGGTGTTGGTGTTGGTGTTGTTGTTGTTAGTGTCACTGTCGTTGTGGAGTCTGTTGGCAGGGCCGTTCGTGCTGCCCCTGTCGTGCGTGTTATCATGGCTGCTGGTGTTGTGGGCGTCAGCATGCGTGCTCCCCTCGCCACCCAAGTGCGGGTTGTACAGCGTCATGTTCTCTGATATGCGCGCGGGCGGCAGTGGCGCATCCTCCTCGTCCGGGTGTGCAATCTGCACTGCTGGATGCATTTCAAACGCATGCTGTTGCTGTGGCTGTTGTTGCTGCTGCTGGTGGTGGTGGTGTTGTTGATGTGGTTGTGGTTGTTGTTGATGTGGTTGTTGGTGGTGATGGTGGCGTGGTTGTTGCTGGTGGTGGTGATGGTGATGGGGCGAATGCTGTGGGTGCGGCAGAGGAACCCCAACAGCATATGTGTGTGGCAGCGGCGGCTGTTGTGGAAGTGGCAGCGACCCCGCATACACCTGCTGTGCATGAGCTGCGTGGTGTTGGGGAGGTGTCATGTGCAATGGCGGCTGAAACATCACGTGCTGTTGCTGCTGTTGGTGCTGTGATTGCGGTGGCTGTAGAGGTGGTGTTGACTCGTGATGTGAGTGCATCTGCGTGTGCACAGCCACCGGTTGTGTTGCATCAGCACCACCCACCCGCACATCCGGCTGTGCACCCACGTGCGGGGCCATCGTTGTCGCAAGCGCTGGCTGCGGCGGCGACGCCTGTGCGGTTCCTGGTGCATGCACGTGCATGCCCACATCCACATGTTGTTCCTCCGTGCCTGCATGCATGTTCATGGGCACGCCCGCAGCGCTGTTGGTCGCTGCTGTGCTGGTGGATATGCTTCGCCCTGATGTCGGCGTGAGCGGTGACATGCTGGCTGCTCTTGCACTGCCATCATTGGTGTTGCCAGGGGTTTCGTGACGGGCAGGGTGCATCGCGGTGCTGCTGGAGGTGGCTGTGGTGGAGATGGCGGTTGTGGCTGCCATTGCAGTGCGACTGCTGGCTGTCGGGGGTCTACGAGTGGCAGCGGCTGTACGGCGGTTGGCAGCGCTGTGGTCACGGTGCAGCGCTGCCAGGTCGTGAAACACTTGAACGTGACGGTGACTGCGACTCACACGCCGTCCGTTTCGCTGTTGTTGTTGCTGCTGTTGCCCTGGTTGTTGTTGTCGGTGTTGGCTGGCCTCACGTTGCCGACTGCTTTGGGTGTCGTCATCAGCGCTGGCATTTCCGCCATGCACGTGCGCTCTCCTCGTGCCAGCATCATCACCATCATCGTCATCGTCGCGTGTCGCACCAGCGGCATCAGCGGTGACATCATCGCTGCTACCATCGCCGTGGCGATGCCTGCCACCACCACCCTGCACATCCACGCTCACATCCACATCCACGCTCACATCACCACCACTGCCTTTTCTCGCTCTGCCAACACCTCCACCAACACCACCATCGTCACCACCACCACCACCATTACCACCGTTCTCAACCCCACCACCACTATCCTCGTCGTCATCGTCGTCGTCACCAGCGTTGTGCGCAGCAACGAGCGAGTTGGTGAACAGCGGGTTGGTTGGTGCGTGCACCGCATCGTGGTGCAGTGAGAACTCGGCGTGGGACAGAAACTGCTTGCTGCATTCCGGACAGTTGAATGTCATGCGCATGTACGTGATCACGTGCCCGTTCATCACCGCCACGGTCTTGCTGAAGTGATGCTGACCACTTGTGCCACCATCACCATCATCATCACCATCATCACCACCACCATCACCGCTGCTGTGATGACTCGTGATATCAGCACCCCCAACCCCTTGCCCGCCAACAGCAGAGGTACCACCACCACCACCACCACCACCAACGCCACCACCACCACCATCATTACCGCCGCCAAGAGCAGCAGCAGCAGCACCATCACCATCGTCGCCACCGCTGTACAGTTCATCCACAACGTGCCGGCCGTGCGAAACGTGATGCACACGCTCGTGCCGGTCGCGGTACTTGCGGGAGACAAAGGGGCGAAGACAGAAGCGGCAGGGGTGGGGCGAGTCCAAGTGGCGTCGCTCGTGTCGAATAGCGGCGCTGCGCGTGTCAAAGCGAAGGTCGCAGAACGTGCACTTGTGCTTGCGCGTCTCATCGTGCAGGCGCATGTGCACGGCAAGCTTTTCCTGCTGTCGGAACGCCTTGTTGCAGATGAGGCACTGGAGTGACGCCTCTCTTGGGTGCCGTTGTTCGTGCTTTCGCCAATTGCTCTTGTCGGAGAACCCAGCACCGCACACGCGGCAGGTGTACGGGCGCTCCCCGGTGTGCGTGCGCTCATGACGACGGCAGTGCCCCGCCTTCGTAAACCCTTTCCCACAAAACGTGCACTTGTACGGGCGCTCACCGGTGTGTGTGCGTTCGTGCTGACGCAATGTGGACACGTCAGCAAAGCTCGCTGGGCATTTAGGACAGGAGAACGGCTTCTCGCCCGTGTGCGTGCGCTTGTGGTTTTGATATGCAGAGCGCGTTCTAAACGTTTTGGAGCAGCGTCGACAAGAGTATTTTGAACCAGGCCTTGCGTGAGCGCTGGTGCTGTCTCCGCTATCGTCACTGCTGCCTTCGTCTTCGTCCTGCTGCTGCTTCTGCGGCTGTGATTGTACTTGTTGTTGTTGTTGTACTTGTTGTTGTTGTTGTTGTTGTTGTTGTTGTTGTTGTTGTTGTTGTTGTTGTTGTTGTTGTTGCACTTCTCCGTTGGCATGTGCCCTTGGCATGCGCTGAGCCGTTGCAGCAGTTATTGTCGCCACTGTTGTCGATGTCAGTGGTGACGATGATGGCGTGGATGCCGAAACGGGCTGCGCCCCTTGGCCGTGTCCTGGTGCTTGCACGGGTGGAAGTGGAATTGGCCCGTCCATCTGTGCACTTGCAACACCATCCTGGGCAGCTGGCGTGGAGGCCATTGCCGATGTTGCCGATGATGGCGGTGCACCAGGCGCCGTGTTGTTCGCCACCATCGCGGCAGGTGCTGTGGTGGCAGCGGTGGTGGCAGTGGTGGTCGTCGTGGTCATCGTGTTTCCAGCGCTTTCACGGCTACGTTGTTGCTGCTTTCGTAGTTGGGGCTGCTGTGAGAGTGTGTGCGTGGGGTGAAGCAGAAGGTGGAGAGGATGTTCCCCGCGCGAAGGCGCCTTTTCAGGGGGCTGCTGCTGCTGCCGTTGTTGTTGTTGTTGTTGTTGTTGTTGTTGTTGTTGTTGTTGTTGTTGTTGTTGTTGTTGTTGTTGTTGTTGTTGTTGTTGTTGTTGTTGTTGTTGTTGTTGTTGTTGTTGTTGGATGTGCAATAGCTGCTGCTGCTGGTGCACGTGCTGCTGCTGCAACAGCTGATGTGGGGAGATGGCGGGCGGGACTTCCTCCCGAAACAGCAGCGAGTGGTGTGCGGTCGGTGGCATGGTGGTGAATAGCAGATGGCGGTGGTGGTTGGAGCCGTGCACGTTCCACATCCCATTTGAATGGTTCTCATTGCCACTGTCTTGCGCGGTGCCAGTGGGCGTATCCACCACACCTTCTTGCTGCTGATGCTGATGCTGTTGTTGTTGCTGTTGCTGTGTTGTTGCATGCATGGCTGTTGTGGTTGAGATGCCACCCGTGCTCGACCCCGTGTGCTGCACTCCTGTCACGGCAGATGTGACAGATGGCCGCGGTGGCGACGCAGCAATCTTCGCACGCTTCGCATGGTGCTGTGGCTCAAATTGGTGCCCATCGTGTCCCGGGAGCAACTGCTGATACACGTGGTGCTGATGACTGTGATGGACTGAGAGCAACGGAGGTGGTGCGCTGACGTGCGGCAGGGCAGGCGCATCAGAGCACAGCATCACGGGATGTGGGTGAACAGCATCAACGTGCTGGTGAGCACTTGATGGCATGGAGAACGGCTGTTGTTGTTGTTGTTGTTGTTGTTGTTGTTGTTGTTGTTGTTGTTGTTGTTGTTGTTGTTGTTGTGGTTGGTGGTGGAGGAGGTAGTGGTATTGGGGCGCGTGTGCGGGCAGACCGCCATTGAGTGTGTCCGCGGCAATTGTGGACCTGGGCATGGGCTGGCACGTCTCAATCAAGACAGGGGGCGCTGCTGCTGTTGCTGAAGACGATGTTGCTGCTACTGCAGAAGATGACGACGACGATGTTGTTGGCTGTAGCACCTGGCTGCCAAGTTGGGGCAAGCCAGCATCGGACTCAACTGCGTACGTCAGCATGGGCGCTTCAGCCATGGCCGGGTTGTACACGGGTGTATCGTACACGCTTGGAAATGGACGGGGAGCCGAGATGGCACCAGGGAGCGCCGCTTGTTGTTGCACATATGCGGTCGGCGCTGGCTGCATGGCGGTGATGGATGCCGGTGACGACGCAGCGATGCCGCCGCCGCTGCCGCTGCCATTGCCATTGCCATTCGCCATTGGTTGCCGGACACCGCTCATGGCAGGGTACCCGATACCTGGCTCCTGTTGTACAGGACACGTGGTTGATGTTGGCAGGCCCGGCTGCAGCACCAACATTGGCTGCTGCTGCTGCTGCTGCTGCTGCTGATGTCGCTGCGCATCGATGTTGCTTGGAGGAAGCAGCTGCGGCGCTGCGTGATGCGGAGGAAATGGTGGCGGGGGCGGTGGGCGCTGTTGTCGCTCCGGATGCTGCTGTGATTGGTGCTGGTGATGTTTCGGTTGAGATGCATCATCATCATCATCATCATCATCATCATCATCTTGTCGTTGTTGTTGTTGTTGTTGTTGTTGTTGTTGTTGTTGTTGTTGTCGTTGTTGTTGTTGTTGTTGTTGTTGTTGTTGTTGTTGTTGTTGTTGTTGTTGTTGTTGTTGTTGTTGTTGTTGTTGTTGTTGCTG